GGATCGTCTTCTCCCTCAAGTAGCCTCCTCCAGCTGAGTCCATTGGATCCTCTTCTCCCTCAGGTAGCCTCCTCCGGCTAAGTCCAATGGATCACCTTCCTCAGGAAGTCCATTCGACAAAGTCACTGAAACAAAGACCCAGCCTCAGTGAGTCCGTTCGACAAAGTCAACTGGAATGTCTCCCTCAGGTAGCCTCCTCCGGCTAAATCCAGTGGATCGTCTTCTCCTTTAGGTAGCCCCTTCCGGCTAAGTCCAATGGATCGTCTTCTCCCTCAGGTAGCCTCCTCCGGCTAGGTCCAGTGGATCCTCTTCTCCCTTAGGTAGCTTCCTCCGGCTAATTCCAATGGATCCTCTTCTCCCTCAGTAAGCTTCCTCCGGCTAAGTCCGGTTGATCCTCTTCTCCCACAGGTAGCCTCTTCTGGCTAAGTCCAATGGATCCTCTTCTCCCTCAGGTAGCCTCCTCCGGCTAAGTTCAATTGATCACCTTCCTCAGGAAGTCCGTTCGACAAAGTCACTGAAATAAAGACCCAGCCTCAGTGAGTCCGTTCGACAAAGTCAACTGGAACGTCTCCGTCAGGTAGCCTCCTCCGGCTAAGTGTACAAGTCCAACTTCAGGTAGATGTATCACGTAACAAAGTCAAAGAATATTGAAAATGATTAAAATATTCTAAGTCCAAGTTAGCATCTACAGAAAAATGTACAATGCCAACTAGGTAGATGTATCATGAAACATAGTCAAAGAATATTTCAAAGTATGAAAATATTCCAAGTCCAAGTTAACATCCACAGCAAAATGTACAAGTCCAATTCCAGGTAGATGTATCACAGAACAAAGTCAAAGAATATTGAAAATGATTAAAATATTCTAAGTCCAAGTTAGCATCTACAGAAAAATGTACAATGCCAACTAGGTAGATGTATCATGAAACATAGTCAAAGAATATTTCAAAGTATGAAAATATTCCAAGTCCAAGTTATCATCTACAGCAAAATGTACAAGTCCAACTAGGTAGATGTATCACGGAACAAAGTCAAAGAATATTTCATAGTATGAAAATATTCCAAGTCCAAGTTAGCATCCACAGCAAAATGTACAAGTCCAACTCCAGGTAGATGTATCACAGAACAGTCAAAGAATATTTCGAAGTGCCAGTAAGAAATGTTCTAAGTCCAAGTTATCATCTACAGCAAAATGTACAAGTCCAACTAGGTAGATGTATCACGAAACAAAGTCAAAGAATATTTCAAAGTATGAAAATATTCCAAGTCCAAGTTATCATCTACAGTTTACAAAATATCACGAGCGGAGCTCTGTCCTGGTCGAAAGCTTGCTGTAATCTCCCGAGTTTACATCGGCGAAATACGTTTATAGGCTTGGTGACGTCATCACTTTTTGGACAAGATTTCAAAGCTAAATAACAAGTTATTGACGCCATATCCCGGTTTAATATTGTTCACACAACAAGATAATAATTGGAACTTAATAAATCTAACAGTAATTGATCGCTACTTACTCTAGTTTTACTTCGATTCGATCGAATAAAAAGCAGGAAGTAAATTCCAAAAAGTGACCTCCATTTAAACTACCCGATCGACTACCCGATCAACATAAATTAAATCCCAATTCGATGACATGAAAACGCTATTTCACCCCTGTAACTATAACTAAAGTACTGCAAACATTGCTACACCTTACGATCTAAAATTAAAACTTATAAGTGATTGGAACCATCTAAGCCAGACTTTTCGTGAAATTCAAACCATTTCTAGATTCAAAAGCTCTATCAAACAGATATTTATCCCTATCTCAAACTTCATACCTACGACAAAACTAAATTTAAGTAGAACCAAAGAAAAACTGCTAAATAGGCTTCGAGTTGATTTTGCCCTTAAAGACCATTTCTTTACTCATAACTTTACTGGAATAATTGACAACAAATGCCTCTGTGGCTCTATTGAAGACACAAAGCATTTCATTCTAACCTGCCCTCGCCATACCCATGAACGTAACAAAATGATGACTGCACTTCGTGAACAAATTTATTGTTTGATACTCAACTTATTTCTAGCAAGACAGAACAGGTCAAATATTTAATTTATGAAAATGAACTCACTATTGATTCTCAGAAAATCCTGATAGATATAGTGATGAACTTTGTACAGGCCTGTTATAAGTTTCCATCAAATTAATGTTTTTCTCATTTGTATCTTGTGACATCCCCCCTCCCTCCCAACCTCTCACATTACCTATAACCATCTATGATTACTGTAATTAATCCTCTATTGTAATTTAAACTACCTAGAATGCCTATGGCGATTGGTAGTAGATATTTTTGTGTATTTTTTGATTATGAAGGAAATAAATATTATGCTAAAAAAACAACTTTACGATCTTAATGATCTCACATGTGAACCACAAATCAAGTGTAATAAGTGTATAATAACGAGTACACAGCACTAAAACAAAAATAAAAAATTCAAAAATTTTGTTACAGTATCATAAAATGCC